CCAAAATTGCCAACATATTGTTTTTATTTGTTTTTTTATACTGTAATTTTTTTGGGACACTTAAAACCAGATTGGTCAAAAAACTTTCATAAAATTTTTTTTTAATTTGGAAGCCTGTCATTACATATCTTCGACTCTGAGAGGCTCATATAACTTTAAGTTTGGGTTTATCAAATTTAAAAAAATAAATAAAAATTTGGGCTTAGTTTTTTAGGTTTAAAAAAAAAAAATGGCACTGCCAGGTTGGAAATTCAAATGTGGCCCTTGCCAAAAAGGTTTTGTCCACCGCGATCTGTAATGGGTGTATAGTCTTTTCCCGCCTGAGAAAAAGATTCTCCCCCAGCCTGATGATAAGTCTTCTCCCCCAGCCTGATGATAAGTCTTCTCCCCCAGCCTGATGATAAGTCTTCTCCCCCAGCCTGATGATAAGTCTTCTCCCCCCTAGCCTGATGATAAGACTTCTCCCCCCTAGCCTGATGATAAGACTTCTCCCCCCTAGCCTGATGATAAGACTTCTCCCCCCTCCCCCCCCCAGCCTGATGATAAGACTTCTCCCCTCATTCTGTTCTCAACTACAACCAGCACAAGCACTCTTCTCAAGTCTCAGAAACCATCTGATGTCCAGTCTGGTACTGACCCATCACATCCACCCGACCATGTCCAGGCTGGTACTGACCCATCACATCCGCCCGACCATGTCCAGTCTGGTACTGACCCATCACATCCACCTGACCATGTCCAGTCTGGTACTGACCCATCACATCCACCCGACCATGTCCAGTCTGGTACTGACCCATCACATCCACCCGACCATGTCCAGTCTGGTACTGACCCATCACATCCACCCGACCATGTCCAGTCTGGTACTGACCCATCACATCCAGCTGACCATGTCCAGTCTGGTACTGACCCATCACATCCACCCGACAATGTCCAGTCCTGTACTGACCCATCACATCCAGCTGACCATGTCCAGTCTGGTACTGACCCATCACATCCAGCCAACCTGTAAAGGAAGTAACCGGGTCATGATTCGGTAAAGAACATACAAAATGGCTTAGTTTGGACCTGAATCTGCAATATTTCCTTCATGAATTTTGGGCATTCTTTATTAGACCCCGGCCCAGTTTTTATTAGAAGTTGTTACAGATGCTTGCTATAATTTGCTTGTGTTATCTCTTGCAGTTTTATGGCTACTTGTCCCAGCAACAGAACATGATGCAAGATTACATCCGCACCTCGACATATCAGAGGGCCATGCTCGCCAACCTTACAGATTTCCAGGACAAAGTAAGTACTTCTCCGGTGTCTCTACCAACATTTTGTCCACTTATCTGTCTCATGCACTGCTAAACAAAAAAAGGCAGAAATTCATCTGCTTAAGCCCGTCTCACTGGAATCAAAGGGAATGAAAGTGCGTATCTGGTAATCTTAGTTTCAGCTTCACAGCAAACGGATCACCCCATAGTTGCTCCGCTCTTGTGACAACGAAAAACACACCCAGATTGTTCATCAGGGTCCTAGCAAACGAAGGCAGTAACAAATATACTAACCATAGTCTTTTCTAGAAATGAAAACCCTCATTAAGAAAAATATCCGATATAGACTGGAAAACAAACATTTGAGTTTAAAAAAAAAAAAAAAAAAAACTTAGCTGGCCAAGTTAGAATTTTTTCATGTATGCATCAAACATTACAAACTCAGCAACACTCATTTAAATAAGTTGTATACCAGGTGGCTTTCAGGCGGTGTCTTTTGTGTTGAATAGACCTCAGAACATGTTCTGTGAGACTGCCCTCTCCTGAACGAGCTGCACCCAGTAGACCCGACAACTAAGCTTTTTTGGAAACCTGACGGACCTCGAGCTGACATCCCCGTTTATGGCCTACAGTGGATTAATCACATGACCGGAGATCGATGAAGAAGATGTACTGCTGAACATTTCCAAAAGATGTGCTTCCTTCTACTTTTGCTTCTCCCCCCCCCCCCCCCCCCCCCCTTCCCTCCCTCCCTCCAGTTAACCAACTCTCATTAATAAAGTCGACTAATTGGGGAACTTCCTTTGAAGTCGGAGTGCATCTGCCGGAGAGGCAAGGAACCAACAGTCTGTATTCAATAGAATGAGATCTGTAAAACTGATGCACATGCAACACTCAGGTTCTGGAGCAGGACTACAGTTCAGTAGTGGACGAGCAACCAGAACCTTCCGCCAGAGTTTACAGCTGGTGAACGCGAAGAGGAAGAAGATAAGACGACCCTTTATGTAAGACAATTCTATGTATAAGACAACTCTATGTATAAGACAACCCTATGTATAAGACAAACCTATATATAAAACAACCCTGTGTATAAGACAAACCTATGTCTAAAACAACCTTATGTATAAGACGACACCAGTTCTTTATAGGCTAAAATTAGGAACTGAATATTTTAAACATTGCTTATATAAGCCCACTTCCCCACCCCCAAAGTTTCACACCTAAAGAAATATATCTGCATATACACGGTTGAAAAATATGCTATATTCCACAAAAAATATTGAAAAAATATATATAAGAATAGAACTGAAGGAAGTATTTGACAAGGGATAATGCGTGAATAATTGACTGTAGAAGTATTACAGAGAAAGCAGTAAAATAACCAATTTCTTCTACCTACAGGTGGTTCTTGACGTCGGCGCAGGCTCAGGAATCCTGTCCTTCTTTGCCATCCAGGCTGGAGCTAAGAAAGTTTACGCAATTGAGGCCAGCAGCATGGCCCAACATTGTGAAGTAAGTAGCCTGGTAGCCTTAGTTTCAGCTTCATAGCAAACGGGTCGCCCCATCTTTGCTCCGCTTCTGTGCCAACGAAAAACACACAGAATGTTTATCACAGTATTAGAATTGCAGTTCATCATTGATGGTAGCAGAAGTCGCCAACAGACCAGCAGTTGCCCACGCGATCAATTTTAATCACATACGGGCACCACAACACTGCGCGACAGGCATCGCACCATTCTCTGAATCTACAATTCAGTGAAGTAAGTGTCATGTTACGGTCACTGGAGTTGTCTCCTCTACTGATTGTATCACCATCAGCTCTGTGTGTGTGTGTGCGCGGAAGATGTGGCTGGGGAGGTCAGCGTTCGTCTCACATTTCAATTTCACATGACTGTTGCTCCCACTACAAGGGCCAGATCAAGAAACAGCACTCTTGGTTTCTAACGTCCTGTGCTGCTAGACTGACTTAGTCTTAAATTGATACTAGAAATATTCTGGGGCATAAAGGCGGATGAAACATTGGCAGCACCTATCGCATGCCAGTTGGTCTGGAGAAATATGGGTTTAACACAGTATATTAGTGTGACTTATTGTAAAATGGCCTGGTTTAACACAGTATATTAGTGTGACTTATTGTAAAATGGCCTGGTTTGATACGGTTTTGTATTGATTTCAACAGTGGTAAAGAAAGTCAACTGTTCAGTCAGCCGTGGCAAACTGTTGAACACAAAACTGCATAGAAAGACCAGACAACCCCCCAAAAAAAATTGCTGGGGCTGGTTCTGTAATGTCCTGTAAAGGATACACAATGAACTCTCTACCCACCACACTTCTGGGGAGAGGGTCCAGGTGTGGGTTCCAGGCCCCATTGAAGGGAAAATATGAGTTGACCCACTGCCTCTCTTACACGAAAGTTGTAAGAATTTACTGATAAAGGGTTTCCTCTATGTTAAAGTACATCTGCCGGAGAGGCAAGAAACCAGCAGTCTGCATACAAGTAAGCCAGATCTGTAAAACAAATGTGCACACAGAACTCAGGTTCTGGAACAAGACCAGAAGTCCGGAGTTTACAGAACGTGAACACCAAGAAAAAGATTAAACGGGGTGTTCTACAATAGCTTTTATAATTCTACTCTGAATGCCATTTGTTTGTATTGAGCAGTGCCAGGTGATTTGTCTTTTTTAAGTGTTCTCTCTTATTTTCATTCGGCAGTTACTAGTAAGAAATAACAACTTGAGTGATCGTATCATCGTCATACCTGGCAAAGTGGAGGAGGTGGAGATTCCAGAGAAGGTGGACACTATCATCTCTGAACCTATGGGCTACATGTTGTTCAATGAGAGGATGCTGGAGTCCTACCTGCATGCTAAAAAGTGGTTAAAGCAGGATGGTAATTATATTTTATCTTGTGTTTCTCGTCTTCATGTGGTCAAGTTATTTCTCTGTCTATTTCTCCCATCAGATTTATCAGTTGTCACCAAGTTCTCAGATTTGTGTCTCATTACATGCTCATTTTCAAACTAAATTTGCTTTTCTGAAATGAAATATTTTTTCCGCACATTTGGATTGTCTGATAAATTTCTCTTATATGTTGTGTTCTATCGCAGCTCATTTTATTTAAATATAGTGTTCCATCTCGAAACATTCAGTTACTGCTCCATGGTCACACAATCACCTAAGTCTCAAATCAGGCCTTTGTTCTTGTAGCTGAAACTGTGTTGTCTGCTGTCAAGTTAGTTTTCGAGGCATTCGTAAAAGAAGTGACTGACATTTTGCTCCCACCTGGCAGTGACTTTATCTACAGCACACCCCATGTCCTCATCTTTTGCTCACCCCATGTCCTCCTCATCTTTGGCTATCACCGACAGCTCACCCCATGTCCTCCTCATCTTTGGCTATCACCGACAGCTCACCCTATGTCCATCTCATCTTTGGCTATCACTGACAGCTCACCCCATGTCCTCCTCATCTTTGGCTATCACTGACAGCTCACCCCATGTCCTCCTCATCTTTGGCTATCACTGACAGCTCACCCCATGTCCTTCTCATCTTTGGCTATCACTGACAGCTCACCCCATGTCCTCCTCATCTTTGGCTATCACCGACAGCTCACCCCATGTCCTCCTCATCTTTGGCTATCACCGACAGCTCACCCTATGTCCATCTCATCTTTGGCTATCACCGACAGCTCACCCTATGTCCTCCTCATCTTTGGCTATCACTGTCAGCTCACCCCATGTCCTCCTCATCTTTGGCTATCACTGAGAGCTCACCCATGTCCTTCTCATCTTTGGCTATCACTGACAGCTCACCCCATGTCATTCTCATCTTCCTTCTAGTTAGTCTGCCTTTGTTCCTTTGATTCTGTGGGTTTCTGTGCAAGGCCATCCTAGTTATATTGTTATCATGTTTTCTCACCCTTCCTATCCAGTGCCAGCATCTTTTCCTCATATTTTTATTCACTGGAGGTTGTTTGGTTACTTTTGTACTCCTCTGTCTGTTACAGTTATTTTGTGGACAGTTGATTAGATTTCACTGTCCAGTATTATATAATCAGTATTACCTGGTCTTTGAGTATCTGAAGTTTCATATTCTTTTTGAACATTTGCAGGTCGGATGTTCCCTACCCAAGGTGACCTTCACATAGCACCATTTACAGATGAGGCATTATACATGGAACAGTATCAGAAGGCAAATTTTTGGTAATTTGTTTTTATCTATAGTTTAAATGAAACAAGTCCACTTTTATTGAAGAAGCCGATGACTTCATGCATGTCTGTCAGCTCAGTGGTTTAGAGCTTTGACACTGTAGATATTTTGTAAACCTGCCAAAGACTCCTAATTTCTTCTGCTCTTCTTTTCGTTTAGTATAGTGTAGTTTAGTTTAGTTTAGTTTCAGAACATTCTAAGGATGGGCTCTTTTAAAACATTTTGGAAAATTTATCTTTAGGATTCTTAGAAGGCCACAGGGTTAAAACCAAACTTTGGGAAATAAATATGGCTGACATATTTTGTATATTTCTACACACAGGTACCAAGAGTCATTTCATGGAGTCAATTTGACATCTTTGCGAAATGCTGCAGTTTTGGAATATTTTAAACAGCCTATTGTCGTAAGTGGTTTAATTTTTTTTTTTTTTAAATAGAATTGATTCAATTTGTTTTCAATTTTATATTTATGGTCTGAAGTCTGATGTCTGAAAATGCAAACTAATTTGAATATATATATATATTCAAACAAATTCATAGTTGATGACGCAGAAAACAGGAGTGGACTAATTGGGAGCTTCCTTCGACGTCAGAGGGCATATACTTGAGAGGCAATGAACCAACAGTCTGCATATGGATAAGCCAGATCTGTAAAATGAATGTGCACACAAAACTCAGAAAGGGATGAACAGCCAAAACTTTGCGCTGGAGTTAACAGCCAGTGAATGCAAAGAAGTGTGGGTCTAGCACTGTATGCTAGTAGCAGAAGGTGCGTGAAGGAGAGCTCTTTTAGTGTTGTATTTCATGAGACAGAAGGCTGTGTACTGTGAAGATAACCAGTGCCACAGAGCGTAGATGAAGCTGGCGTGTCACAACTATAGGAGAGCCCTAGGAAGGGTAGGGTTCCTATACAGGAGGTATCTTCGGTCTATAAGTGTGGCTCACTAGAAGTATGGTACTTCATTGTCTATTAGGGTAGAGAGACCTAGATATTGCTCCTGGGACAGGGGACAAGAAGATAAGTCTACCCTGCTCCGATGGGTGGTGCCAGGCAAACTAGTTATCCTGGTGGCAACTCCTCTGCCGCTTTTAAAGAAAGAGCTCCCAGAGAGAAAGCAAAGAATGCCCCCTTCTCGCTCACTCACCTATTACTCAAGCACAGCAACAAAGACAGACGAGAGTAGTGAATGAAGAATGATGTAGCTTTAATTTTGCTGACAGCTGACTGGCTAAAAATTGAGAGTGGTTTGGTGTTTGTTTTTAAACCAAATGGTTCTCATCATCAGGTAAGAGAAATGTCTACTGGGTCCAGTTCCTTCCCCGCACGAGTACAGCTCACCCGTGGATACTCCCAAAGGTTGGACTTGATGGGGAAACCGGAACACTTGGCTTCTTGTAGATCTTATTTCTTGTGATATCCTCTTGTAGATAATCCACCGCTGATGTTCTTAAAGTTCAGATACGACACGTGGTCGTTTAGAAAATACGACACGTGGTCGGTTATGAATACTGGGATTAAATCCCTTAAACTGTCTCTTTGTCTGTGCCGATTCTATGGCGACATGACAATGGGTACAATTTTGTACTAATCGTTGAGTCGTTGGTGTTATGAAAAATGCCGCAGGGCTGGGGGAAGATAGTAAAAGCCCTCATAAGAGTGTGCAAAAAAGGAACACGTGGTTTCCCGAATTTGCTGGTTCTCTGGGCCCTTCAGAATTTATTAACTGAATTAAATATTAATATAATTCAGTTACGATGGTTTACAAAGTACACCGCATTTAATTATTAGCTTCAGTACTAACTTGTAACGGTAAGGTTAAACGCACGTGGCCATTTATTTTGATATCGGTTACCTCTAGAACTCCAGCCAGCAAATTCAGAGATAACAATTTTAATATAATGCTACATTAATAGAAATTAAGGGTACACTTACAGAAGTTTCACAATTAGAAAAAGAGTGCCAACTTACCCCTCAGATCGTTCAGAAATCACTACAGTAATCCAGAACGAATTAATATAGAACTACATTCGCTAATCTGAATACTGCACTTGAAAACTACCGGCCTCCGCTCTCAGCACAGTTGGAATTGAAATGACCGAAACATGGCGACTTCCGTTCAAAATGGACGACCCACGTGACGCCAGCCATGCGCATGCGCCAAAAGGAGGGAGCGCCATCTGTTACGTTCTATTTTATTGGTCGGACAGGGCACTGTGATTGGTTGCAGAACTATTATTCCATGATTTGAATGTAACTAGTCCTATCTGGTTTCTAGCGGAAAGTAATAGTGGAAATCGGGTCCTCTAACTTTTGATATATATATCTAACTACACAGGTAACTAGGGGAGCGTCAGTGGTCATTGCCAGTACTGTCACAGGCGTGAACTTATATCTATAAAATAGTCAGATTTTGTCATATGTAAGTAGCCCAGTTGTAAACACTTTCACACCTGTTTGTATTTTTAGGATACCTTTGACGTGCGCATCTGTATGGCCAAATCGAACAAATACGTTATAGACTTCCAGTCGGCCGACGAGACAGATCTGCATGTGATGGACATACCTCTGTCGTTTACAGTCATGCAGTCGGGCATGGTCCATGGGCTGGCGTTTTGGTTTGACTGTGGGTTTCTGGGCTCAGAGTGAGTGGTTGTGTCATTTGTTGCCTTCATGAATGTCTTTAATTTGCTTCTGTTTGTATAGGTTAGAGGGGTTCGCAAGAACTCTGTCGATTAGAGTGGCATACACTTGTACATCTTGTAGAATTGGTTTCGTTACAGTAACCATTTGAGAGGGCAGATGCTCTTGCAGGCAGTGCTGCCCAGGGAAGTGAACCTTCCGTGGGCATAGTGGATATAGTTCATGCATTATGAGAGAGAAGAACCACTAAAGACATCAACATGAGGAAAATGATTTCTCTATAGAGTCTGGACATGTCAGTTGGGGCAGCTCGACATAATAATTGCAAGAGCTCACGTTTGCTACATCAGTTCGAAAAGAGTTGTCAGTGTTAACATCCTAAGAAACGTGCGTAGGAGATTAAGCACTTATGGTTGTACCTGAACTGCATTGACAATCGTCTTGAAAGGATCAATCACTGCTCATTCCTAGCATACCAGCCACACCAGTGATTTGTCTGGGGGGGGGGGGGGGGGGGTGAGACTTGGGTGCTGGTTGTCTACCATCATTACGGGAGAATTGCTATGTCTTGCAGTCTTCACATGGTTAACAACTCTCCATCTTTGCAGGTGTTAATGTTCTGTAGAGAGACATGGCACTTACAACGTTGTGGTGATGGCGGGTGTTACTAGCAAGACATACTCACATGATAAGTCCTCTCCAGTTTAAAGCAAGAGGGTTCTGACCATTTATCATATACCTGATCCTTTTGCAGTACGTCGCTGTCATCACGGTCTGCATGAAAGAAACTTGGTCTCCCGCTAGCTTTTCCGCCTTGTGTACTTTCATATTCAAGGAGTCACTTATATCCTATGCTTTGTGTTGGTCGCCTCTGCCCCTCCTTTCTGGAACCATGCTTTTTGCTTTTTTCCAGTCCGCCGTGGCGCTTGATATGACCAAAATATTTCAGCCAATCTTACTTGATGTTCAGATCTTTTAAAATGTCAGTATTTCTTCTCTTCTTTGTCCATGGTATTCTAAGAATCTTACTGTAGCATTTCAGTTTAAAAACGCTTTTTTTCTACCTTGGGGACTAAAAGCTTTGTTGCCATTTATTGAACATTATTTCACAACACAGGCTTGAGGGTAATATTATAGAGAGCATCAGTTGCCCAGGCAGCACTACTGTTTTAGTGTTAACGTGGACTGCTGCTGTTATTTCTGGCAAATTATAAACATATCCAGAAAGGCCAAAACATATCCAGAAAGGCCAAATCCAGGTTTTAAACTATCAAATATACAAGAAACAAAAACAATAATGCAAAAGATTCAAGTTTTAAACTATGAAATATTACACAAGAAACACATCAACCATGCAACAGATGCAGGTTTCAAACTATGAAATATTATACAAGAAACACAATCAACCATGAAGAAACAAAAAACAAAAAAGAAACGATCTATCTTATGTTTGCAGTTACTCTGTGTGGTTAAGCACAGCACCCACAGAGCCGCTGACCCACTGGTACCAAGTGCGATGTCTTGTCCAGACCCCAGTCCTGGTCAAACAAGGACAGACCCTGACCGGCCGAGTCAAGCTGAGCAGTAACACCAGGTAAAAACATCAAAGTCAGCCATGCTGGTTGTGTTCACAGGTTCGTTGTTTGTGTGCCTTATGCTGTTAGAACAAGTGGTAAAGATCTATATAAAGCCTGAGTTGTTGTATGGATGTCAGAGGAGGGTAGAAAACCGAACGTCATTTACTTGCAGTGGTAATTAGGCTTCTTTTTTAAAGATGAATGCAGAAGATGCCATGGAAACATAGAAAGACCAATGAGGCAGTCTTTACTCGACAACTGAAAGTTGTGTACTGTTTAGAATACAGAGATGTAGGTCAGGTGGTGTTCTTCAGACATATTTCACAAAATGTATGGGAAGATAGCAAGGTGCAGGCAAGAAGATGAATGCTGGAGGCGAAGTCCTATAAATGGGGGCGAGACAAGAGCAGTGTCTTGATCCATGATTATATTGATCGTGTGAGATGGTGAAACATTGCAGACTACGCTTACCAGCACAGCACATGATGATGATGATTCTTTTTCTGTGTTTGTTTCGCCTCATGTTTAACGGTTCAACGGTCTAAATGAAGAAATCAATCCAGACATCAGCATGAAGTCATGGCAGCTATCTCACTGCTTTTCTTCCATCGTGGTAACTTTAGGTCTCATTTGAGTCCAGTTGAATAAGACCATGTCTGAATTATATTATAGGTAAAGAATGAAATGGCTCGACCATCTAGTGAGAATGCAGCCTGACCAAACTGCATATGAGATTTTTTTTTTTATAGCAGAAAATCTGAAAGGAGAACGAAGGGAAACGCCAAGAAAGAGATGTATAAATGATGTAACTGAAACCTGCAAACAGATTTACAAATCCATCACCCAAGAAGTGCAAGACAAAAACAGAAGATGATGACACTGGGCTACAGTCTGATACCAGTGAGATAACAGATATGTATGTTAATCTAGGGTTGAGATAGTGGCAACACCCGGACACCGTGAACTGAATGATTGGCTGAGAATTGTTGTGTACTTGACGCTAAGCAGCTGTGTTGGTATATTTCAGGCAAAGCTATGACGTTGATATCGAGCTGAACTTCCCAGGCAGTACAAACAAGTCTGTGAATAGTTTGGATCTGAAGAATCCATTTTTCCGCTACACGGGATCCGCGCCCGCCCCACCCCCAGGCAGCAACCAGACGTCTGCCACAGACACGTATTGGAACAGCCTTTTAGCTTCAGGAGAACGTAAGTTGTTTGTTTGTCAACGCTGATTTTGTCTTTATCCTTTATTTAGTCCATGTCATCTGCTATTGGTGTCTGTTCATAACCTTCTGTCGGTTGTGCTTGTTTAGAGGTTCCTTTCGTTTGATGATGTGAGACTGTCCAGTATTTTCTGTTTGTCTAGCTCTGTCTCCCTTCCATGTTAACTTTGTTAATTTATTGTGAGGTAATGTTTTATAACAGACAAAGTCTTATAAGGTCATGGACCAAGAAGTAAAACATCATTTTGCATGACCTGGAGAACTGGCTCATAAACAGCATCCTTTCCTGAAAACTGAGGTAATTTGGACATGGTGGTCTGGAGAGAACGGTGAGGTAATTTGGACATGGTGGTCTGGAGAGAACGACCAGGTAATTTGGACATGGTGGTCTGGAGAGAACGGTGAGGTAATTTGGACATGGTGGTCTGGAGAGAACGATGAGGTAATTTGGACATGGTGGTCTGGAGAGAACGATGAGGTAATTTGGAATGGTGGTCTGGAGAGAACGACCAGGTAATTTGGACATGGTGGTCTGGAGAGAACGATGAGGTAATTTGGACATGGTGGTCTGGAGAGAACGATGAGGTAATTTGGACATGGTGGTCTGGAGAGAACGACCAGGTAATTTGGACATGGTGGTCTGGAGAGAACGATGAGGTAATTTGGACATGGTGGTCTGGAGAGAACGATGAGGTAATTTGGACATGGTGGTCTGGAGAGAACGATGAGGTAATTTGGACACGGTGGTCTGGAGAGAACGATGAGGTAATTTGGACATGGTGGTCTGGAGAGAACGATGAGGTAATTTGGACACGGTGGTCTGGAGAGAACGGTGAGGTAATTTGGACATGGTGGTCTGGAGAGAACGGTGAGGTAATTTGGACATGGTGGTCTGGAGAGAACGGTGAGGTAATTTGGACATGGTGGTCTGGAGAGAACGACGAGGGAGGGGCTCAGTTTCCAGAAAATGAGGCAGAGGATGACCTTTGCGAAGATGGATACAGGATATTGAAGATGCATTGTCTACGAAGGGCCCAGGGCTGGAAAATTGGCTAGATAAAGGGAGAGACTTTCAAACTGATTGATTGTTTGTTTTACAAATCTGTCACTGTTGTTTTGTAGTGAACTGGTTTGTTTATATATGATTTCTAATGCGGTGTGTTCTATCCCAATTTCTCCTTCCAGACAGACAGTATAATACTGCCCTGTGACGCCCCCTGGGGGGGGGGGGGGGGGGTTGGAAAAGCATCATATGGTGAATTGTTTATAAGAACTTACAACTGTTTGTGTAGGTTCCAGCAGTAGGTCAGTCAAACTTTGGTTGTTAGAATGTCTTTGGCATGCAGCATCTCATGCTGTGCCCCTAGCCATGAACATGAGACCATCACTTTCTGTTTCTTGGTCACCATCTTGAAAATGCCAAAACATCTAGCGAATTCCTCTTGAATAAATTTGATGAATTTGTCTACAGACCCTGCTTAGAACAAAGCAAGTTTTTCATCAGGTTTAACCTCACAGCATTTTCCCGTTATGAATATAAATACTAGGGACACAAGCAGTACATTGCCTGGCATATTAACTATGTATCATCATTGTAGCTTCAAGGGTACAACCAAACGTTGAACATTTGCCTGTTAAATTTTGTGAAGGCAGGGGGAATTGGATGTGAAATCCTGTATTGTGGAAACAAAAGGATCACACTGTTGATCGTAGATTTCCATAGTGGGATCTACATTGTAACATAAGAATTGGTGATTTGTTTATTTCAGTTAAAAGGAATCATTTACTGTGCTTAATTTTATGTTAGTACTGCCTGTGAAAAAATTACTTGGTAGTAAATTGCACAATATATTGCTTGTGTTCTCATTATGTAAAGTGCCCCGTTAGGGTACCAATGTCTTATTGTGGCGAACACAAGAATAGAACCACTGCCTCCCGATCAAACATGTCATAAGAGTCGACTAATTGGGGGATGTTCTTCAAAGTCGGGAGTACATCTGCCTGAGAGGCAAGGAGCCAAGAGTCTGCAAACAAATGAACCACACCTGTAAAATGGATGTGCACACAAAACTAAGGTTCTGAGCACACCCCTGACCTCGATCTGTGTCCCTCATCACCCCTGACCTCCATCCGTGTCTCATGTCACCCCTGACCTCGATCCATGTCCCATGTCACCCCTGAACTCCATCCGTGTCACTCATCACCCCTGACCTCCATCCGTGTCCCTCATCACCCCTGACCTCGATCCATGTCCCATGTCACCCCTGACCTTGTTCCATGTCTCATGTCACCCCTGACCTCCATCCATGTCCCTCATCACTCCTGACCTCGATCCATGTCCCATGTCACCCCTGACCTCCATCCGTGTCCCATGACACATTGACCTCGGTCCATGTCCCATGTCACCCCTGACCTCGATCCATGTAACCCCTGACCTCCATCCGTGTCCCTCATCACCTCTGACCTCCATCCATGTCCCATGTCACCCCTGACCTCCATCCATATCCCATGTCAACCCTGACCTCCATCCGTGTCCCTCATCACCCCTGACCTCCATCCATATCCCATGTCAACCCTGACCTCCATCCGTGTCCCTCATCACCCCTGACCTCCATCCGTGTCCCTCATCACCCCTGACCTCCATCCGTGTCCCATGTCACCCCTGACCTCCATCCATGTCCCACGTCACCCCTAAAAATGGTAACTGCAGGCAGTAAATACAGAAAGACGACGTATGCTACTTAATGCTTACAGGTTGCATGTCTTCTTTCAGCCGTACAGCAACAACCTCAGTCATACGTCAATGGATATGTCAACAACATTGTGGACGTCGGCCAGATGTTGGTTCAGCAGCAGCCTCAATATATACAGCAGCAAGGGGTTGTCCAGGGAAATCTCATTACCATGTGTAAGTTCTAGAAGATTCCAGGCTGTTGTACAAGTCTTGGCAGCTTTGCTAGTGCTTTGGCTAAATGTTTGTCTCACACCTGGTCTGGTTTGATTCTGCATAAGGGTGATTTTATTTTTAATGTGGTTTTGTTTTTGTAAGTAACCTGCCCCCAGTCTGAAACAGGCACCAGAAGATATCCTGGGTAGTAAAGGAGGTTGGCATAATGTTGACTTCATTGCACATTGAGTACCGATGTCTTTAAAAATGTGGGTCGAGCACAGTACGAGCAAGGTGCCAGATATGGATGTCTTTTAGCAGTTCCAACTTGATTTCGACCACACCATCCTTTGGACTGATTTAAATAAACAAACTTAGATCTAGCACCTTAAGCTGGGGCATCAGTGATGTGATCAAACGCTCCTTTACTTGTTTGCAGTTAACTTTGGTTTAGTTAGCTCCATATGTTCACATGTGTAACACAGTCAATTCTGTTGTCTATGTGATTCTTGGTTTCAGATTCTTTTCTTTATTTGAATTGTTTCTTTTGTCGTAGCTTTCTGATTCCTGGTTTTCCTACGCTTTGACTGTTTTTGTCTATTTTCTGAATTAGATTTAATTCAACTGGTTCTTCCTTGCGTTGTCTCGCAGCTAGAGATCTTTGTTTTATTTTGTTGTCGGGACTTGAGATCTTGTGCTAGTTTTCCCCTATAATACTACCAAATATAATTACAGCTCACACACGCCTGGGATTACACATTAGTGTCATTATTGAATGCATTAGGGCTAGGTTTTCGGCAGACTTAGATTATTTGTTAAACCAAGAAGTTTGGCCAGTCCTACTTGAACTTCACCTGAATCAAAGAGTAGGCCTCGTTCAGTGTAGGCTCTATAGTTTGTTCATGGTAGACTGTATCTTGTCCAGACTTTGTTCATTTTTTGGCTCCTAATTGTATCGCATTGCTGGCTCTCCGTATTAGTAAGGCCTCTGTTTTTTTTCCTGAAACGAATGTGCCCTCGTGTTCATGTTTAGAAAGCAGGCAGCCCTGTCCCGACCGTCTACAGTGTGTAAACAAATTAGCGGCAGCATCCATCTAGCAGTTCCCCAGTTTCCGCTTTGGCCTCTGAGGCTTTTAAACTCATTTCAGAATGAAACTAAAAAATTATAAATCTTTTGGCCTGACTTCTCATGAAATAATTTTGTCATTTGTCTTGTGCAGTATTTTCAGTATAATTTCTTAATAGTTGTGCAAAGTACCCTTTGAAATTGTCTTTTAACACGAGACCAGTTTTTTCCCATTGGTTTCTTTGTGTGTCATTTTGTTAGCATTGAATAATGCAAAACTGTTGACATTGTGTATACTTATTTTGAGAGAGCCGGGCAAGTGTATATATACATTGTGTAAATGCATTATTTTCTGTTTCTTTTAAGTTGCTTTGTATTTGTTAGAAAATGCCCCTGTTGTCAGATTGCTAAATTTTTGAAGAAATTGTATGTCGTCCAGAAATAACTATCATTGTGTTGTGAAAGTTTTCCATGTGCCAAAGCTAACCATCGACCTTGAACTCTTTGGCTTGCAGCCCAGACAGCGCCCATAAACCCGGGTAGCATTCCCAGTGTGTGCATCGTCACGTCCAATGCCCATGCACATCGCACGTCTGTGGGTGCGGGCATCAGTCCAATCAGCTTCTCCCAGCCCCAGGTACGGTGTCCGTGTCATCACAACAGCACAGTCAAATGAGAAGTTGTTTGTGGGTAATCTCACCTGTTCCCCCACCTGTTGTAGCTGTTTCATGGTTTTTATTTAAGTTCCCTTCTTCCCCCACCTGTTAGATTTGTATATTCTTGGTTCCTGGGCCCCCCTCCCCCCAGTATGTGATAGCTTTTTATTTTTTGGTTCTCTTATTTCCTGTTGTTTTCTTCATTCCATTATTCCTCCCATCTTTGTTAGTTTTGTTGTTATTTTTTTTTGGGTTCCATTGTTCCCCAGTCTTTGCAAGTTTCTTTCTTCGTTTTTCCTCCTATCAATGTTAGCTTGTTTGTTTCTCCATAGTTCTTCCCTGTTTGGCAGGTCTCTGCTTTTCTTGTGAGCCTATGGCAGGAAATATAAGTATTGATCAACACTTAGAGAAGTACAGTCAAGATTAGATGACACACTAGGGCAACAGGTTAATTGAAAGCTACACGGTTTAGTTCTGCCGCTGCAGTTCTTGCGACCTCTATTTGATATACTCCAGTTTTTTTTTTAAACCTCGGTTTGTTTTTCTTGACTGTTTTTCCGAGGCTTTTTCTGTTCTTTCTTGTTGTTTTCTGGGTGTTTCTGTTCTATTTTTTTTAGTCCTGGATGTTTTTTTAATCGACTGTTATTATAGATGTTGGCCATTGATTGTTTTATAGTCAGATTATTTTGTGAAATTGTCCAAGTATTGACTGGCAGCTAATTCTGACGAAGGATGGGTCCATACAACGTCAAACATCTTGTTTATTAATTGTATCAAATGGACTTGTTCACATTTGTGTGTTTTATTTGGAGACATCACTTCCAATCTTTTGTTATGTTAGTACTCTTGTCTTATGTTTTGAATTGAAGATGTACGTGTACCTAAGCATATCTCTTGTCCCTACATTAGATAGATATCTTCTGTGTGTGTGTGTGACATTACTGTTGTACCTCTACATTTTGATCAGTGTAGATACAGATATTTTTGTATAATTCAGAGACAAAACCAGGTTAGTCACTGGGGCATTTGTACACATTTTCTGCTTATTCCTTTTTTTGTTTCAAGTGGAAAACTAACTGTTGGTGTTTCTGTGCCTGTTGTGCCTGCAGGTTTTGAGAACATTTCTTTGTGTGATTATCCTCCACAACTTCTCATCTGTTTATGCTCAAGTTACAATTTGTTTGTTGAAAAATTGATTTAGTTGATGGGGATTTCTGTCATCTTATGTAATGAGGTTGAGTTACTGTATTTTGGGTTGTATGTGATGGGGGTTAAGGGACAGGAGAGAAAGAGATTACATTTTATATGTGGGCAGCATTTATTTCCTCAAAAGGTCCGCAGTTTGTGAAGTACACTATCCCAGGTTAGCTCCAGAACCCCATTTGCGTTGGAAAGAGGGTGGGGAGGGGGGGTTTGACCCCTAACAAACATCTCTTACAAGGTGACCAATGATGGAACCAAAAGTTTTGGGCTGAAAATTGCAAATATCACAGCCGAGCTGTAAACCATGAACCGGTGTGCTACTCTTTTAAGAATAAGTGCTAACGAAGTAAGAGTGCATTCATCGTACTACTAAACCATGCAGACGTCATTGTTTGGCTGGCTGGAACTTCTGTCTTTTGAGGTCATGGATTAAACTGACAGATGGCCACACAAGAGCAGTGGCTCATCAGCGAGCTACAGACTGACACACAAAGATTTATTGCAGATGAGATGGATCACCTGTAGAACTGTCCCGAGTACAGTGGTGGTAATAGCAATAGTCGGGAACAGTCACCAGTGTTTAAGTGGTAGAAAGTTTTGGTTGTTTGGCCACGTCTGGACTGTGGTCTTGTTCCAGAACTTGAGTTTTGATTGGACATGCATAATAATTGTATGCAGACTGTTGGTTCCTTGCCTCACATGCAGATTCACTCTAACTTTGAAGGGAAATCCCAGAAATAGTTTATAACATGCTTGTGGGGGGGGGGGGGGGGGGGGGGGGCAATCACTAATGGAATCCCATAACCAACACAGAGATGTTAAATCTTCAACTTTGAACTGCTGGTTAAAAAACTAATCTGTGGTAGATACTTGGTTTGCATGGCTTCTCATATTGCAGCCTAGCTGTAAACTACAATACAGTGATCTGCCAGAGCCACCTTTTTAAGGAAAAACTGAAGAACTATTCTCTTCAAGGCTTAAAATGACATAAACCTTTCTTTGCTGAATATATTTGAGTCCTTCAATTTGTGTGTTCCTTGGTTGATTCAAAAACGTGTGTTCTGTTCTCTTCCAGAATGTGATCACAGGTATGTCCAATTTCCCCGTCAGTAACCAGCTGATGATCGGGGATTATGTCATGCCTGGCAACCTGATCATCCCTTCATAACCAAAGCTTGGAGCACGGCACCTTTTGTAACAGTTGGACACTCGACACCCGTCTGACACCGATACACTTGGACAAGCTTGGGCGACACTTTTCGACATTCACTTTTGTTGAATGTACACATTCTTATTGGTACCACTATCAATAAATCTGTTGTAACTTCATGCAATTTTGAGATTCACTTCAGATCGATTGAAACATTTGTATTTTCTGACTATAGTTATGTATTTGATTTTTTTTAAAGCTACTTCACAACGTGGGAAGTGTAAAAATATGAGTTGATGGTTGTCGTTTTGTTATAAATTTATGTAACAGTTATTAGTGCATTGTTTATTTTCTTCATCATGTGTGAGGAGAACGTCTTGTCGATAGTTAGCCAGGTACAAGATGCAGTAGTGTGTTTGATTTTGATTATTTTACTGAGAAATATACAAGACAAGCTCACAGTTTATTCGTTATAATATGTTTAGTCGCAGAAGTTCTGACCTGAGCTGTGAAGAAGACTTTGATTAATACAATTCAATACATGGCTTCTGCTTCTTGTCTGGAGAATGTTCGATTGTGTTGTCTGTTTGTCTGGAGAATGTTCGATTGTGTTGTCTGTTTGTCCGGAGAATGTTCGATTCTGTTGTCTGTTTGTCCGGAGAATGTTCGATTGTGTTGTCTGGAGAATGTTCGATTGTTTTGTCTGTTTGTCCGGAGAATGTTCGATTGTGTTGTCTGTTTGTCTGGAGAATGTTTGATTGTATTGTCTGTTTGTCCTGAGAATGTTCGATTGTGTTGTCTGTTTGTCCGGAGAATGTTCGATTGTGTTGTCTAGAGAATGTTTGATTGTTTTGTCTGTTTGTCCGGAGAATGTTCGATTGTTTTGTCTGTTTGTCCTGAGAATGTTTGATTGTATTGTCTGTTTGTCCTGAGAATGTTCGATTGTGTTGTCTGTTTGTCTGGAGAATGTTTGATTGTATTGTCTGTTTGTCCTGAGAATGTTCGATTGTGTTGTCTGTTTGTCTGGAGAATGTTTGATTGTATTGTCTGTTTGTCCTGAGAATGTTCGATTGTGTTGTCTGTTTGTCTGGAGAATGTTTGATTGTATTGTCTGTTTGTCTGGAGAATGTTCGATTGTGTTGTCTATTTGTCTGGAGAATGTTCGATTGTGTTGTCTGTTTGTCCGGAGAATGTTCGATTGTGTTGTCTGTTTGTCCGGAGAATGTTCGATTGTGTTGTCTGTTTGTCTGGAGAATGTTCGATTGTGTTGTCTATTTGTCCGGAGAATGTTCGATTGTGTTGTCTATTTGTCCGGAGAATGTTCGATTGTGTTGTCTGTTTGTCCGGAGAATGTTCGATTGTGTTGTCTGTTTGTCCGGAGAATGTTCGATTGTGTTGTCTGTTTGTCTGGAGAATGTTCGATTGTATTGTCTGTTTGTCCTGAGAATGTTCGATTGTGTTGTCTATTTGTCCGGAGAATGTTCAATTGTGTTGTCTATTTGTCCGGAGAATGTTCGATTGTGTTGTCTATTTGTCTGGAGAATGTTCGATTGTGTTGTCTGGAGAATGTTCGATTGTGTTGTCTGTTAATAGTTCAGCTGCAATATTTACGCTTTGCCTGACACACACACGTCTAGTGTACTGTATGGCATTTTAAAACAAAACGGGTTTGCCTTTTTTGTCGTCGTCGTCGTCATTGCAGGCAGAGAATGTATGTATGTGCAAGGGGTTATGTTCAATGTGCCTGATTGTTAGATTTGCAGATGAAGTTTTTATTATAAAAACATTTTCATTGTCATTGCGTCCGAGACTTGTTTACATTCTAAATGAGTATCAGACACATATAACTATGCATCTACAAATCATTCTTTATCCCTTGTTGCCAAAGAAGTCCCCCTCCTCTGAGTGTAGGGTCAGCACCCCAGTCTGAGGGAACCATTATCATGATTTAGCAGTTTTCCGGTCCACTGTTATGGCTGACATTTGAAAGTAACAACTGTTATTTCAGTTATGAATGTAGATCACCAGAGAATAAAATTATCCCTAAGGACAGGAATTAATTTAATAACTAGAGCAAAATGGGTCCCTAATGTATGTTTTGTCAGGCATTTTAATCTGCAAGATGTAAGGAGCACAGAACAAGGGGTAGACAGCACAAAACTGGAATGACTACAATGCAGATCTGATAAGGAGAACTCACAGAGAAACAGTATTTCTTTTCAGAAATTTCTCTTATCCAGATTAGGGTGCACACAAGAAAAATTGTCGGGAATAAATTGTTCTTTACAACAGAAGTTGGCCATATTGGAGATCACCTTCCGTGGTCTGTACTGTATCAGGAACAACAGAAGTTTTAAATGAACACACCAATGTTCACTAATCTCCTAACACTGATGTAACTAGAGGAAAAGATTTTCTCATTTTGGGTGTTTTTCTTTCTTTCCTAGACTATTCAGATAAGGTTACAATTTCAACCTCATACAAAGTCCAGATTTCTCTTGAAAACTGTGCATACCAGTGAAAGCAGAATCGTTTATAAATTGTAACCCTTACAGAAAAGAAAATATGGTCAGTTAGCTCATACAAGCAGGAATTCTTATACGTGCTTGCTCAGTTTATGCTGCCCCCACCAGGGAGCACTGACATAACTAACATAACCAGTCCTCTAAAGATTAGAGAGCCGATCACTGAAACAATCTTCTGTCATTTTCCCGCTAAAAGTGTCAACCATCAGACTTATAGGAACCAGCTTCATTCTCTCAGACAGGTACCTTGTGGTGACTGCTGCATCTGAGGAGTGAGCGGATATGGGAGTGCCTAATGTACAGATACAGTGACATCAGCTGTAATAATGTAAGTTGCGGATGCCAGGAAAGGGCTACTTCATTGTCCACAGATACAAAAATCTGGCCCAGTGTTGGAGCTGCTAAGAACCTGCACTTTCGTGGCCATTGCTTGGGGCTGTCTGGACAAAACCTCTTCGTTTCACTTATTTTGAATCAATGTTTAATTAAAAGCAGTTGTTGTTTTCATGTTCTGTAAACTGTAGAGTTGTTTGCCACCCAGGATCGTTTCATCTAGTTACAGAGTGGCAGTTGCTGTGCTTCACCCCAGTTAGGAAAAAAAAAAAAAAAGGGGGGGGGGGGTTGTAGAGACAAAAATGCTTGGCACATGGTGGGAAAAATTACTTCCCAGTGTGTGTAAGTGGAAATATCTGAATCCAGCCCACTGATACATTTCACATGATTGTATGTAACATGGTGGTTATAGAATTGGGTATCTTTTTATATATAATAATATTCGATCCATGATCACAGGCTGTTTATGTAAGAAAATCTGGCCAATATAGTCGCTGTATAATTCTTTTTAACTGCATCTGCATTCTGTCATGCAAAAAGGCAGACCATTCACACGGGGATAAAGTGACCAGGCATACGCTGCCTCTTAGGCAAAACTTGACAGCATGGTGGTGTGTACAACAGGGCTGTGCATCTACGCTTACCCAGGCCAAAATGTTGATCGCCTCCAGCCTGAGCCCGGGTACAGAAGTATCATTAATACAAAAGGTTGGCAGTGATCTACGGGCCTCATGCTTAGCTCAGCGGGGCAGTTTTGATATGCAGGGACCTAGCAAGTGGCCCACGCATCAGTGCCAGTGTTTTCTATTAATGATCTTTCATCAGCTTGCTGCTCTGACCCGTGACGGTCCCCAGTTTTAACATTTTGGCCCGTAAGTAAACTTAGTTGAAAAGTTGTGATGTATGGACATACTGCAGTGTCAGCGGACACGTAACAACACGAACACTAAAACATCTTGAGCTATGATTCAAAGATATTTGCAAGCAAGACAGTGAAGTGTTGAGCCTAGGATTGTCAGCCTATCAGGCCAGAAATGAGATATTGAACCCTGTTTCTAACACCACATCTTTGGGTGAACCCTGTTTCTAACACCACATCTTTGGGTGAACCCTGTTTCTAACACCACATCTTTGGGTGAACCCTGTTTCTAACACCACATCTTTGGGTGAACTCTGTTTCTAACACCACATCTTTGGACAGTGGCTAGTACGTGTTTAAAACAGCTTTGGTGACTGTTGCAACTACACAGTGTGAAGACATGCTGGGTTTCAATGAATCAGGAAATGTAATCAGCGCTGTCAGTACTTTCCCACATGTGCTCTGTCCCCTTCTTCAGCAACCAATAAAGGGTTGACATGCTATTAGTACCAGTTACAGCCTAATGAAAAGTCTAGTGGGTATGATTACATTAAAGTGGCGTGGGGGGGGGGGGATCTGGGGGGGGTCTGGGGTGGACAATCGTGTAATTGAGAGCTCAACTTGATCTTTGTAACTGTGTCAACAAAATCTCTCTTTCCTGGTCAAGGGGAAGGAAAGCAGGTATTTCTTTACTCTGTTTTTGTTTTTTAATTGATTACTTCCCATCATATACACAACCACAACAGTCTGTTGCCGAAGTAAAGCCAGGAAAAATACACATGTTGTTGCAATCCCAAGTAGATGTGTAATACACCTGGCCAGAATGTTGGATCATCTCACAGACATAATTTTATTTTAATCACCGATTCATTATGCCTGATTTGTCCAAATCTGTGAACTGAACAGCCATCAAGTTTTTGAAATTGCAGACACTTTCGTTATAAACTGTCAAAGATGTATTTCCTTTATGATGTAGCAAGCTTAAGTACATAATCTCAAGTGCCTGTTTGGCATTTGATAATTTGCTGTTGACTGTTTGACAAGAAATTATATGACTGGTCATATGAGGTCTATGTAAGAAGCATCCAACATTGATGTTTTCACATTGAAATACAATGACGCCTAGGGGATGGCCTCTAGTGGGAAGAGTAATGGAAGGAAAGACATGACGCCTGGGAGATGCCCTCTAGTGGGAAGAGTAATGGAAAGAAATACATGATGCATGGGAGATGCCCTCTAGTGGGAAGAGTAATGGAAGGAAATACATGATGCCTGGGAGATGCCCTCTAGTGGGAAGAGTA